TAATTGCATCTACTTCCGGAAGGCCAAATAAAGTGCTTTTGCTTTCGCACTGAATCACACAGCGTCTCACTGACATGGCTGCATCAACACTACTGCTGTTCCTGAAACCACGCCTTCTTTCTTTGCACGCACATTTGGGTGGCGTTATGCTAATATTTCCACATAGTGACGTAGACATGTGGGGGCGTGTTAGAATGAGCTGTTTTAGGTAGGCGTGGTTGACTCTTAACTTTTATAAAGAATATATTTTTGGATTTGAGACTTTAGTCTTTGCAACTTTACAGATCTTCTTTATGCACCAAGAGCTTGTAACACTCCAAAGAGAAAGGAAAACTTGAAATCGCATCATATGACCCCTTGTATTTTTAAATACAATGTAAAATAATGTATTTTTACTAAAACAACAACAAAAAAACTTTGTGTTGTGGTACAGAAGTTGCTTAAGTGCATTTATCGAGCAAACTCAATTGCAAAGAGTATAGACAAGATCTATGTTTGGAATTATTTTAGTTTAGATCTAGTTTGTCACTGAGAAGGTTTGATGGCAGATTTTTTTTGGACAGATTTTTAGTCACATCAACGATATTGTATGTTGATTTAGTCATTTAGTTAATGTATAATTATTCACTGTTGTTTTGTCTTCGTCTTGTTGTAGTCATAAAATACATATTTTATTATGATTTTGTTAATGAAATTAACAATAGTTTCATTCAATATTCTAATATTATGACTCAAAATACTCCGCTTAATACAGGCACAAACCAGCTGTTTATTCGTTGGGATCAGAATATTGTCTTAATCTGGTTATGACAGAATATGACCAAATTCTGATTAATATCAGAATATTCTTGCATGTATATTTTATATTCATGTATATTCAGAATATTCTTGCATTGAATTGTTCAGAAGCTTTACAGTGTAAAATACCAATACCAAAAAAAAAAGAGAGAGAAAAAAAGTACAATCAACAGTAACATTGCTCTTGTTTATTGGTATCCGATTGCTCTGATTTATCAGCTGATGCTAAAATGCTTTTCAGTATGCCAGATGGTCGACTCTGACTGTCACTGCATATCTGATGTCTTCACAATTCACACAACAGGAGACGGGATTATTCTCTGCACATTTAAGATGAAGTCTTAGTCTCTCTCTGTTGTATATTCTTTTGTTTAGAGCTACAGAGAGAGCTAGTCTATTGAACTTCCCCATTGAGAAGAAGGACAACCCCTGTTCAGAATCCTGCAGCCCTTTGAAAACTTTGTGACCTGAATCTTTTCCCCGCATTATGTTTGTCACTGTAAAAACTATACGCTTGCATTTTTCTCCAGTCGATGGATGTCAAAACAGGGCCAATGCATTATGCATATAGCATTACTGATTTAAAGTGTTTATTTGTCAGCTTGAGGAAATGCAAAAGTGTCAAGTCATGTGAATTCATACTCTTGTCACTCCTGCTTGTATTTCATGGCATTTCACATAAAAGGTTTTCAGGATCCACTTCACCACTTTTATGGTAACAAAATGAACAGCATATAAAATTTATACCTGCTAGTTGATGGAAGGCAGCAAATGCTAAATATGCCTGAGCTGACCCTTAAAAGCGGAGGATCTGTATTTCACTGTTTTGGACTGGAGTGACAGTCCGCTCGTATCCTGCCACCACAAACTCTACTATATGTTCACTACTTTTAGCATTATACCAAGAAAATCTTATTTGCATGGCCTGCCTGTTAAGCTACTGGTTTGGTCACCATTGCAAACCTTGAATCTGTTTTGGCACCATAAGCAGAGTGTAATGCGACAGTCTCTTTCCTCTTTCTCTTCCAGGTTTCACACCTCCAGGGATGGATAGGTCATCTGCAGATAACAGTCCAGTGCACGGATTAGTGCGACAGGCATCCATCACCACGGGATCAAACATCCCGATCATAACTGAACTCGGTGAGATGCGACTGCAGTCATACTGCTTACATGTCAAAGTCAAGTGTGATTAGAATCTAAACTCCCGTATCAAGCCACGCTGATGTGTTCCTTATGAAGTGTGTGTCTGTGATGTGTGTAATGGCGCACCTGAATATTTCACCGACTTGGTCAATGTCGCGTCCTCATCAGTTGTGCCTTTAATGCACTGGAAGAGACCTAGACTTATAGGGAGTGAAAAAAAGCATGTAGTAGCAAAATGGATCCATTTATAAATAACAATGAGGGTGGCACTATTCCCATGGTGGGGGGGACTCGTGAAAGTTTTAGATCTCAGAGGGCACTAAAGCACCAGAGACCGGTCGCTCCAACTCTCCACTGACCCAATTACAGCGAGTTACACCAGAAAGGCTTCAAAAAATGCACAGACGCTTAAAACTTCATGCAAAACACGCTCCTCACACGCACACATACACATATGTACTTCTGTCCTCTTAACACGAGATCCAGAAGTCCTCCTCACTGAGGGGTTGCAAAGTCCTACATCTTGGACACATGGGGCCTGATTTACTAAAGGTTTCTGGCATATTGGTAGAGGTGAAACAAATATTCAAAAAAGAACAAAGAGCAACTCAAGAATAATCAGCATAATCTTATATGAAAGCTCTCCCTATCATCTGTCATTAAAGACATTGACTAATACTTGACATTGACTAATTTAAAAGCGAGACTTTGACTTTGAGTTGAGAGGATATTTTCAGCCTCTTGGCAATGTCCTTCTGTAATTCAAGAAGTAAAAGCTGGATATTCAAGCTAATAATACTCTCAAGAATTGTAGACATGATAGTGTAGTTAACACGAGTTACAATGTTTATAGTGATGTGAATTGGTTGTTTCTTAAATTCTGTTTTCCTGTGAATATTCATTGCTGACAGGAAACTATATCTGAAATGTTTTGTGAGTAAAAAAAATCACATGCCCGCCTTTAGTAAGTAAAGGAATACATTGCACATATAAATCACTCATAAAATGAAATGAATTTCCATTGTTGATATAAACTACCATTCAGAAGTGTGGGGGCAGTTAAAAAAAAAAGAGGAAATTTATGCATTTAGAATTTATTATAAGTGACTGTACAATATTTTACAAAGTTACATAGGAATTTTAGTTAAAATAAATTCTGTTCTTTTGGAACGATCGATACTTAAAAAAAAAATGCAAAACTGTTTTCAGCATTGATGATAATAAGAAATATTTCTTGAGCACCAAATTATATTATATTAAAATATTTTCTGAAGGATCATGTGTCACTGAATACTCGTGTAATGGCTGCTGAAAATTCAGATTCGCATCATAAGAAAAAAAAAAGACATTTTAAAATATATTAAAATAGAAAACGGTTGTTTTGATGAATTCAGCCTTGGTGAACATAAGAGACTGCATTCAAAAACATAAAAAAATCTTACTGATCCCAAACCTTTGAACTGTAGTGTATATATTCATATTTTTTATTAATTTATTATTTAAAATTGTGTAAAATGTATATCTTTTTGTCATCATTAAATTTTTTATATAAATACATGGGCCATCAGCCATTAAAAAAAAAACCCACATGGGTTGATCACTCTTCAGCTGCAACTGTTTTCATTGCTGCATCACCTGAAGTCTTGGCTTTTCTCCAATCATTTTCCTTTCTTTTTTTCATCCATTTCTTTCTCATATTCTTGTCACACAGCATACTGTCATCTGTTCAGTGGATCAAACTATACTAAGTTTTTGTTGTAATAACTCAACTAGAAGTTCTTTGCACAGATTGAAAAATGTTTAGCCTAAATGTAGCGTAAAATGCAACATTTTTGAAACAACTTTATCAGCAGATTCTGTACACGAGCGAATCATTGACTGTCAATGGAGCACTTGGTAAATCAGGCCTGCAGTTTTAGTGTTGGAACATGTACGATTACACCAGAAACATGTTGAAAAACATGTTTAGAGTGATTCGTTTTCTCTTCTAAATGGTTCATAGTAATCTCTCTCCTATTTGCAGTGCAGTAGATACCTAAGCCTGCACGACATCCCCGTTATCATGAACAAACACGGCCGAACTGTTCCATGGAGTTCTCATAGAAGCGCTTCATCCTCACACACTACCTTTAGATTTCTAATCCCACTCTTGACATGATACTCTCGTTTATGCTTTCTCTTTCTCTGGCTTTGAACTTGTTTCAATAACTGTCTCCCCTCAACACTGTTTTATCATCATTAGCTAAGCCTGGCAAACTACTGCCTTTGGTTTCATTCAGTCAGGAAAAAAACAGTGGAACCAACATACAAATGATAACAGAACTGGGTAAGCTGCGCCTTTGTCCTACTCTGATGCACTGCCTCCTTCATCGGCTTGTCTTGATTTCTCTCGCTGCAGCTGAGGCCTGCTCCCATGGCATCACTTTGAACACATTTTTATCCTTAGTTCTGGTTGAAATTGACTGTCTTGTTTTTGGCCTTTTTTTACAGATTTTTTTTCTTTCTTTCTCAGAGCATCACTAGGCCTTTGATCATGCGAGTCTGTCCTTGTGGCTGTTTCCATAGCATCTCCCTGCAGTTCAATTCTCTGGCCCGGGCTCCTTTTCATCAGCGGCCTGTCTGAAAGACTGACATTTCTCTTCCTTAGCTCACAGGAAGTCTGGGAAGAAATCAAATTAGAAAAAAAAAACCCAGATCAAACCTTGCTTTAAGCTGTTTATTTTTATTTAGTTATTTTGGTGCTGGCCCTAATCTCTGAAGCATAGATTTTGAAAGGGGGTGAAACAAAGATTGTGTGAGGCTGTGTTCAAACCGAGCAGGATTTCAGGGCATTGTCTCTATACATTGGCCACTGCGACCATACACAATAGCCTCAAAGCAGTCTGACTGCTGCTGCTGTTTAAAAACGGGTTCTTTTATATAAGTGGACCTACATTTTTACAAGGGTGCTGTGTAACTTGACTTTTTTTGACAATTGTAAACTTCACTTTTAAGTAAATAGAAGTGTAAATAACACTTCAAGTAATAGTTTACCCAAAAATAACAATTCTGTCATCATTCATAGATCTTTGTGTTGTTCCAGATATGTAGAACTGTCTTTCTTTGGTACAACACAAAAAGAGAAATTTCAAAGAATTATACTCGTCACTCTTCTCCATGCAATTACGATGAATGGGGATTGAGGCTTTCAAGTTTAAAAAAGGATCCAAAAGCTTAATAAAAGTAGGTCAGAATACTTGTTTACTATATCCCAAATCTTTTGAAGTCATACAATAGCTGTATGAGAAACTAACAAAGAAAAATGTAAGTCTTTATTTACTGATGATCTTCCCCTTTAATGATCTGTTACTGATACCGCTGTGACTGAATTATTGAGTCAGTAATCAGGATCAGTCTGATTTATAAACAAACTATTCAGATAATTTTTGTTTAGTGTTATTTATTGAAAACATCTGGCTCCAAAGAACAATCCATTTACATATCAGACATCACAACTTCTCTCAGAAACAGAAATGTCATTATGTAAACTATCCCTTCCAAGTTAATCAGATTCAAGATAGATCCACCATTTTTGGGCACTGCATTGTGCAGGTATCACTATTTCAACCTGTATTAATCTCCAGAATGCATGCCTACTGACGTGCATGCAGTTGTTTTTTTTTTTGCTCATTGTTTATTTGACTTCATTACCCCGTTTATTGCTGGTTGGTGAGACACTCTACTTCACCCTTTGAAGGACATTGATTGACTCTTCTGCACAGTTGTTTTGCCCGGTTGTAAACTGTCTCTCTCTGTGCTGCAGTGAATGACTCCAACGTTCAGTTTTTGGACCAAGACGACGATGACGACCCAGATACGGAGCTGTATCTGACCCAGCCGTTTGCCTGCGGTACCGCGTTCGCCATCAGCGTGTTGGACTCCCTGATGAGTGCGGTGAGTTAGTAGCTAAACAGCTGCCACGTTGACACCTATTTACTGATTTGAATTCCTTTAAACAGATTAGCATACATAAATCTGTTAAAGAAATTATCCCCGCAGAATAAGTCGATTCAGATCCTTTCATTGTATGAAGGATCCTTCATATTATCTGCTAGGCTTCAGATGATCTTTCCGTTCGTATTCAAAAGCAGCCAGTGATTTGGTGAACAAAGCAACCTGTCAAAAGGTGCACAGTCATTTCTCTCCCATCATGGCATGTCATATAGAATTACATGAAGGCATGTCTCACTGCTAATCCTCTGAAATAATGTATAGGAAAGAGACATCCTCCGGCTGTGCAGTGCTTTAGATGTAGAGCTCAGGTGTTACCAGTAGGCAGAGGTTGGTAAATTAAATGCCACATTGATCAGACAGCACTGTCAGTGGCGCTGACATCAAAAGGAAAGTTGTTGCCAAGACTCCTCATATAATGTGTCATGAAATTAACTTTCAAGAGTCTTATTAGATCTTTTAACAAGGTAAGTGCTCAAGTTTTCTTTAATGGCATGCCTTGACACGCAAAGGTGGGCTGCTGTGGGGTCCAAGAGCTCTAATCTCCTAACAATGTCATCTTGGGTAGATTAGGAAAGATACCTTTTTTCCCTTTTTCCCCATTCTCTCTTCTTCTTTTCTTCCCCCTCACCACCTACGACCGCTGCTATCCCCTTATCCATATGATGGCTTAATTCCAGTACCTTTCACTTTGAGTGAAGCTAGAACAAAGCAGCCTTCAAGTGCATTTCACTGTGGACAAAGGTGAAGCCTGCTAATAGACAGCTCTCATCCATCATTCGGCTGAATGCTGCTGTCAGGGGCCCGGAGAGGTGTCACTCTAGCATGATCTCGCGGCGACACAGCCCTCTGGTGCTCACACGAACGACCTTGTGATCTTAGTGGAATCTTTTATTTTTATACGTTAATCATTTGACAACTTTATCATCAGTGACACTGAAGAACATTTGATGGACAAGATACAGTGAGGTCCACAAGTCAGAAACCACTTTAAACCACTGTCAAGGATGCAGAATCTGATTGAAAGTTGGAATTAAGATACTTTTTAGGATTTAAAATACACTACTGTTAGAAAGTTTGGGGTCAGCACTTTTTTTTTAAAGAAATTAATACTTTTATTCAGCATAGACATTAAATTGATCAAATGTGACAGTAAATACATTTATAATGTTACAAAAGATTCCTATTTCAAAAATAAATGCTGTTCTTTCTATTCATCAAAGAATCCTGGGGGCAAAAAAAAAAATATTAAGCAGCACAAATGTTTTCAACATTGATAATAATAAGGAATGTTTCTTTAGCAGCAAATCAGCATATTAGAATGATTTCTGAAAGATCACGTACGTGACACTGAAAACTTGATGCTAAAAATACAGCTTTGTCATCACAGGAATAAATTGCATTTCAAAAAATAGAAAACTATTATACATTAAAAAGTCTTACTGACCCAGACCTTAAATAGTAGTGTATAAATGTTATGAGGTGAAGTAAATAAGAAATATTTGTAGGTCACTATTTAAATTATGACACTAACCATGTTAATGAATGCAGGATAACATGGCTCATCATGCTTTACCTAAACATATTATCATTAAAGCAAACAGATTCAACTATTCATCTAAACTGTTAAAAAATGCTAAAACTTTCACTACTGGTCTCAGGCTTTTGGACCCCACTGTACAAGATAAATGTCCCCGACTTGTTGTGTTATGAGATCTATTCTTCATTGTATGTAATCTACAATTAGCTACAATAATGATAATTAAAATGTCCTCGTGTGCAAAACGCTCCCCTGTTAAGCGTGGCTGGTGTTACCAAAATGAATGGGTGTGGGGAGGAGACGACGACAACAACAACAACAACAACAACAGCTGGCGTAATTGCATTCCTGTGTCTCTTCCCCTCCCAGGGAGTGAAATGAGAAGAGACAGATCAGGGTCTAGATAACAGTGCTTGGGACAGCTCCAAAATCCTGACTGTCTTGAGTTGTGACTCTAATGGCGCTCACGTCCGGATCCTCTCCTTTATCTTGGCAGACATACTTCAATGATAATATCCTCACCCTGATCCGGACACTGGTCACGGGAGGCGCCACTCCGGAGCTGGAGGGCCTGCTGGCTGAGGAGAACGCGCTGAGAGGTGGCTACAGCACGCCGCAGACGCTGGCTAACAGGGACAGGTGTCGGGTCGCCCAGCTGGCCCTCTACGATGGGCCCTTCGCAGACTTGGGGGTAAGTGGATGGTTAAGAGGAGCTGACACGTTTTGGCACTTTCCCCAACAGGGCTCGTTCCCTGGCCGATGCTTCCCCTGCCTGCTAATGCAAAGTGAACGAGCTGAACATGCAAAGTCTGTGGGTAAAAAAATAACGCTGCCTTAAATCTTTCATGGTATTTCTGTATCCAGTGCTGAGTAGATTACGTTACTGATTACAAATTACAGGAAATAAATTGTAGTTAGTAACATCATCTGGATTACACACGTTAGGTAATGTAGTCTGACTACTTTTTGATTACTTTTGACTTAACTTATTTATCACATAGACCTGAATGTGATTATTGTGTACTATCCAGCACTGTTAAAGTAATGCCACATACTTCATTATAGAAGTGTAGAGATCACACTAGGATACAGATGCAATGAATGAGGCAAACAACACCTGCTCTTGCACTCAAGTTGGCTCTGTCATGCCTGAAATAAGCATTTGAAAGTTATGAATGAACAATTAAAGCACTATTGTGTGTTCTTTTTCAGGATGGTGGTTGCTACGGAGACTTATTTTGTAAAGCATTAAAAACGTACAACATGCTGTGCTTTGGAATCTATAGATTGCGAGATGCACATTTAAGTACAACTAGCCAGTGCACAAAAAGGTGAGCTGTCCATTTTACCTATTCACCTCTTTATCAGTAGGGTTTTAGCTCTTTATTTCACTAGGCCTATAATCCAGCTTCACTACTGGGAAATAACAATAAAACCCACATTATTATAAACCTAGTGAGGTGTGAGGTCCCTACCTAGGCAACACACCTGATCAAAATTTCCACAAATTTATGCTTGCTTTTAAATTATTATTCAAAAGTATGATTTAAAAAGGAAGTCAGTACGTTTTTTCCCCCCCAAAGAAATTAATACTTATATTGAAATTTACCAAAAGTGATAGTGATCGTTTTTTTTTATCAAATAAATGCAGCCTTCATGAAGAGACTTCTTTTAAAAGCATTCAAAAAGTGTACTGTAGTGTGCCACATTTTATCCAAAACCTAAGACACTGCCACGTGTCCTTCATGGATAAAGCTATCCCATAAATCATTTTGCAAGCTCAGTGAATATTTTTATCCAGAATGTTGGTTAGAATGAGGGGAAACATTTTTAAATATGATTTAATCAGTAGAGACCTCTAACTTTTTCATTATCATTAAGTGCATTAAGTGTATTTTGTGCTTATTAGAATTCAGTTGTAAGTTTATCCACATGCTAACATTTGACTATTAGAATCAACTGTAAGAGCCCCTTGTGTGCTTCATGAGAGGATCAGGATTGTGTGGCACATTTGAATGATCATTAACAGTGTTAGGAGTTGCTGGAAACTTTCAGATCAGTCATGATCTTTCTCCCATCCAAGCTTGTGTGGTTAAACTATAAGTGGTGCAGAAATTTTACACTTTATGCTAAAACCTGTGCAAAATGACATATTAAAAACAAAGTTAAATGCTTTATTTCCTCTTAAATGAGATCCTTGAACATAATTTTTCCATGTGTGCAGATATGTCATCACAAACCCGCCTTATGATTTTGAGCTGGTGCCCACGGACCTGATCTTCTGTCTGATGCAGTTTGACCACAACGCGGGCCAGTCCCGAGCGAGCCTGTCCCACTCCTCCCATTCCTCTCATTCATCCAGCAAGAAGAGCTCATCTGTTCACTCCATCCCCGCCACGAACCGGCAGAACCGCAGCAGCAAAGCACGTGAAGCCCGTGACAAACAGAAGTAAGTTGGCCTTCATTTCTCTTTAACCCAGCAGAGCGAGCGTGTGTGTGTGTGTGTGTGCGCGTTTGTTCACTTCTGTGGTTTTAGCACACTTTGTACAGAAAGGATGCTGTGTGTGTTTGTACTCAGCGTTCCATGTTGTTTGTGAGTTTGCTTCATTGTTATGTGCATGTGGCCCTTGCCTTGACCACACACACGACTCTATGACCATTTGATCATTGCCTCATCGCCAGTGCACTGTAACCAGGACCATATCTGCATATCGCTGCTGCATTTGTACAAACACAATCAACCTGTGAACTAGAGGTCTGCATTTCAAAAGTCTGCACCAGCTTAGATTTGTTAAAGCACAGGACTAAATATAGGAATTTTAAGTGGATGAATGATTAATGATACTATGAATTTTGCAGGTCCCATGCAGACATCTAGAACTGTTTAGTTAATATTTATTAAGCTTAATAATGTTCCAGAAATGGAGGCAAATTTTTTCCATCAGCATTTGTTGTAGTGCTGGAAATACCGTGATATAAATGTTTGGTCATACTGCCCAGCACTAATTTGTTGTGTAGGTAATATAGTAATTTTTGGTCTTTAATCCACATATAAGAGTGAGGAAAAAGCATTAATTAATTTCTTGCCTTCCTGTTTGTCCAATCATTATGTCTGTGTGTGTGAGAACTGCAAATTGCATCATCATGTTTTTAGTCTGTGTTAGTGGCTTATTTTTAGTTATGCTCTAGTGATTTTTTTAATGTCCCAGGTAGGGTTTAGAGACATTATCATAGCATAAATGATTTCACACCATCCCTACATGCCTTGCAGGTGCAGAAACCCCTACGGTGTGTAAAGAAGCTTTGGATCGTTTAAGTGTTGATCTTTTAAAAGTTCCAGCTTTGAAACCTTTATCATCTACATATACCGTTTTCATGAAGCTGTTGATTTTGAGACTTATCTCTCACCAGAATGATGAGCTGCAAGGTATTATGGGATGTTGTAAAACCCTGCATTGATTTCAGTGCCTGTTACAATGCGTGCCTAAAAGTTAATTCAACAGTTTATAGTTTGTTCGCTACCCCCCCTTAGAGAATAGGTTATATTAGTTAACATGTGATCTAGTTTCCCAGATTTGAGAAGCACATTATGTCCTTTTCAAGAGTTTTACAATACTAATTGTTTTTAATTGGATAAAATTGTAATCATAATAATATTTCATATTAATTAAGTCCTCAATTTGCAGTAGTAACATTTTTACTACTTAGTTTCATAAGAATCGTTTCCCATTTGTGTAAAATAAAGATGGTTATGATTTTTAATTCACAACCAGACTAAAAATGTAGGGATATGATATGTCAGTTCTGTTTGAGACCTGTTACTTGCCTTAAACGCTGTAAAACTTACATAGACCACTTTTTTTTCTAAAGTGCAACAAGGATGAATAGAATGGGCCCAGGTATGCAAGTTAATGATTCTGCATGATACAGCACCTGTTGTGGGATCTTTTAATCATAACTTTGTCCTTTTGTGGAGCAGTTATGAGAGGGGATTTTGATTTTAATTTCCAAAGAAATCATGCCTACTTTTCACCTTTGCTTTCTAACTGAAAGCAAATGGCTGCTGCTACTGCCTAACTCTTGTCATGCTCAGGACCATCCCAGCATTGCATGCGGTTGACTATCATCCTCTCTCTACCTCCGTCCATCTGATAGGTCCCAGAGATCTCTCTTTCAGTAGTCCCCCTCGACTTGAGTTCCTCTTGTTCATTTACCTCTCATTAGGTTTTCTTTCTTTCTCAAAGCAAAACTGCATTGTGTGAGAGGTCAGTGTGTCTGCACATTGTTGCACATGTAGATTATCAAAATGTATTTGTTTCACTTAACGTTCAATTCAAATAAGGTATTTGGAAAATAATAAAATCTGATTTAATGATTTGTTTCCATGTCGTTCAATCAAATTCTATAAAATTTTCCGAACTGTAATAAAATTGCATATTTAATATAATTATATTTACTACGTTGTTATTCTTATGTTTGACATTTAAATAAAAATAATTGCATCGCACAAACATGCATATCATACAATATTTGTTCAAATAAAAAAAGTCAACTAATTCTCTTCATAATATTTCTATTGTTCAATAAATATAGAATTTATCATTTTAACAAATGGCAAACTGCCACTTGTGTCAATCTCCAGATTGGTTGATTAACCAGCCTGGCCAATATCGCTATGCGATATGCATTGGTGGCTTTTCTCATATTCGCCACTTTGCGTTGTGCCTAAAAACATCTTTTAAAGTAAAATTATAGTATTTTACAACCTCTCGTGGCTTACGGCTGCATTAATGCAAAAACGTAGATTCGGTAAATCGTTAAAAGTTCCCCACTCAAACCAGGCGAAAGTGGTTTCACGTTCCGCTCTCAGCCCAAATTCATCTCAAATATCCGTGAGAGAGGGGAGCCATGATGAGAGTCCTTGTGCTGCTGAAATTGGCTCTTTTAACCCTTGCGGAGCCAGAGGATGTCTCGGGGTGATGTAAGTGCCAGCATCAGTAGTAAACTCAGGGGAACGGAGCGAGGTGGCTGACTCCTTGCACCACCTCAGGCACAGCTCCACTTACATCAAACGACTGCGCGTGACACTCTCCCCCCACGGCTCGTCGCAGCCTGACACTCCAAGGTGTGCAGCACATTTCAAGTTGGAGGAATAGTTGGAGTGCTGGAAAATGACACTGCCTAGGAGAACGTGAATGTGATGGGGAAGGATGCCGGCCTTACGCCTGGTTTAAGTGCTCATAGGACACAATTCCAAATTAAACGCCTGATTTCGTGATCGTGTGATAACGTGCTCAAATACACAGCATGATACAGTCATTCCTATTTGGCTACAATACGGCTGTAAATACTTTTACATACCGTACATTTTGCTGCCTCATGAAATCAGTAATAGGTCCAACAATGTGTGTTTCACCCTGTGTCTTTCTGAATGTGAATTCAAGTTCATGTACTGTATAGAGCGAGAAAGAGAGTGTGGGATGATTCTTCTTTTTTTTCTTTGTAGAGATGCATGACCCTGCTTTAAACAGCTGATATTAATGCTGTGTTTCTCGTCTTCTGCTTCTCTCCCGCCCGGCTGTCTCACAGAAAAGAGATGGTTTACAGATGAAGCAGAAAACGCATACCCAAGGAACATTCAAATCAAGCCCATGAGCACTCACATGGCCAACCAAGTCAATCAGTACAAATCCACTAGCAGTCTGATTCCACCTATCCGAGAAGTCGAAGATGAATGCTGAATGAATCCTTTACCATTACGGAGGGACTTGGGTCATCCTGCTGTAAAAGACGAGCACTAATCGCGAAACCATGACTGTGATGATGGCGACACATTGTTTTTCCCTTGTTCGACTCGAGGGTTTGAAGCGATTGAGAACTGGAAGGGACTTCCTATGTGTATACCTTTAATGTTACTTCCATACTTTTATATATGTATACATAGTGATGTACATAATGACAATCAAGTAAGGATTGTACAGCCCCTAGCACTTTTTGAAATTATGTTAACAGGCAAACAAAAGAAAAAAGTACTTTCTGTGATTCATTGCAATATATTTCACCTCTGCCGTGACCTGACTCCATGCAGAGGGCGCTATAATGGAGGATGAGGGTCACCGTCGTTCACTTCATCCAAACACTACCCAAAGATCAGCCCCGCCGATTGTGTTGCGTATCCGTTGTCCGTTTCGTTTTGCACTACCACATAATAACTCCAGCACTGCTCGCAGAAGAGTCAAAGCTTTCCCTCGGTTCTCCTCTGAGTTTGAGGCTGACGTCACAGGCTGTTAACTGAATGGTTTTGTTCAGGGAAACGAGTGCTTGCGTGACTGTATTTGTGCATGGTGTGTGCCGAAGGCTGCCTGAAGTAACCTGAACGTGTGGCTCAGGGAAGGATGCCCATTTCCATCCCTACAGACCGTTTAGGCACGTATACACATGGAAATGTTTGCTGTACCTAATGCAAATGGCCATCCCCAACGTAGCTCTTTGGAATTGGCAATACATTGAGGATATGCACTACTCCTGTTGATGTCTTTCCATCATCCATGACTGCTGGTGTGGGAAAACCGTCTGTGATCGAGGCTTATAACATGTTTGCGTCTGTGGCTCTGCTGTTAATACGACTGAATGGAACACTACTGTAACCTGCTGATAATTCAACAATGATTGAGCTTTAATGCTGAGAAAATTAATAAAATATCCAATTGAAAATGCCACATATTGCGAAAAGTGGGCATCAATGGTTCCTCCTTTGGGTGTAGCCACTGCCTGACACCAGGTTGGCACAAGGGCAGAAAAGTGCTTGGATGTTCCCTGTGACCAACCGTGATGCCTTAAACTCTAAGCTCAATCATAATGTTCAATTATCAGCCAAAGCTGTAACTTGTGGATGACTCTTGCTGTGTACTGAATGGATTTGAACGTCACTCACTTCTATCAAGGCAACACGGCTATGTTGTACCTTTAAGTAGAATGTATATTGATACAAATGCTTCACAGACCTTTGAACTTTGATTCAAGTGCTCTGTCAGATTTATACATAAGTACATACTTATTTTTTATCCATGAGCGTAATCATTTAAGGTACAATTTCAGCTTGCCATCTGGAGTGCTCTTTGATACTCACACGGGCTGCTTTGAAGGACCTCGAGCTCTACTACTAAAACAGCATACACGTCAAAGATCTGTGAATCCGAGTCAAAAAGGTACAATTTCAGCTTGCCATCTGGAGTGCTCTTTGATACTCAACGGGCTGCTTTGAAGGACCTCGAGCTCTACTACTAAAACAGCATATATGCTTTCATTTTCATAAGCTAACAGAGATGAAAACCAATATTAAATGACTGATGACACTTTTCTGTAATTCCAGGTAAAGTGATGTTGATCCTCAGACAGACATGATCTCAGAGATGCACATGATGAGGAGGGGCTCTGCTCTTTCTGTAATGAGTTAGTGATGTTTGACCTAAATTAGGTCTTGGTAAAAAAAAAAGCGTGCAGAAGTACTTGTGCGAACATCATTGGATCAGATCAGAAGCGAGCTAATAGATTGTAGATGCAAGAAAAGAGACGTTAATATTCATCCATGCATTGAGAAAAAGAATAATCAATCTGTTGTATAAATTCTGCCCGTTCTAGTCAACGTTTATGTTCTAAAGTAAAAGGATCTCTACTTTGTTTGTCTACTGGGCAATTAGGCTTGGTCCTGAAGTGATTTTATGAATTGTGATTACAGTGGTGTTACACTTTGTAGCAAGTAGATTTCTTAATAAATGAAGAAAAAAAAAATACACACGTGAGTAAACTATGTATAATTGGATTGTCTACATACTTGCTAGCCTAAAAAAGAATCCATTGGAGTTAAATGTCCAATTTATTTATTGTTTCTTCTATGTAAGGTCCTTTTCCTGTAATGAACTACATTACAAAGAAAGGCCAATGGCACGGTCAAGACAGCAGGTTTGATTTGATGAGAAGAGTGTAGATGCACGTTGAAGAAAGCAGAAAGCAAACTAGCTCTTTCTTTTTGAGGATTATTAACCATCAGGTTTTTACATTCCATTTTGTCATCAGCATTTCAATGTTACTATCACATATAGTTTAGAAATGTTAAAATCGCTTGTTTGTTTACAGACCTTTTCTTTCTTTTTCGAAACATACTCGGGTAGCAATCCTGATGACGAAACTACAAAGAAAAGCTGGCTTACATTTTTTTTTTACCTTTCGTAGCCCTAATGACAGTGATACTGATATTTTCTTCTCCACTGCAACAAATGTGCAATGTTTTAAATTGCATGATATTATTTGTACATCTTGTGAAGATACTACAGTGTACACATATCACAGTTTCTACAGTGCCATGAAATGTATCCATCTACTAGCATCAGTCAGTCATTGGTCCGTAATACTAGATGAATATCATGGCATCTAATACTGGCATGGAGAACATCCAAGCCATCCTTGCCTCCATGCCAGGACAGTGCCAGGCAGTGCAGGAAGACCAGAGGAGGAACGCTGTAAGACCCACTAGAGCGAAAAGTGGCATTCAAACGGGCATCATGTGCCTATGCAAGCTGCTGAAATCCTAGCACCTTGGTTACAGATACTGAAAACAGCAACAGCAATGACTGAAAGATGCTGAGTAGAACTATGATGTTTCGTTGGATCACCTGTCAATGTATACAAGAGTGTTTAATTAAAGTAACATATAAAGCAACCTTACTGATGTGCTATGTAATACACAACTGTCATATTTTGGCTATTTTATTCTACTGTAAAGGACAGATTTAAGTTTTAGAAACTGTATAAAGAAAATACACCGTAATGAAATAAATACTTGGAGGGAATTAATTCTGAACTTGCATATGGATTACGGTTTTGTTGCTGTCTTTTCTTCCACTTCAATAAATAATCAAAACATCCATCCATACATGTAATTATTGGCATATTCATTACAGGAAAATGGGGTTTCTCATAGCAGAATGACTGATTTGACTACCAGACGTGAAGACATTGATGGTGCTGAGCTGATCTACCTGACTCTGTCAAATATAACCTGCTGATAAAACATACTGTCTTGTACAAAAAGTTTGCACATAAATTGTACATGGTTTCTTTTTGTATTTTCTCAAATTAAAATGGATGTATTTGTGTTCTACAGGTGACTGGTATATTGCGTCATTACTTGATTTACACTGGACATTTGAACCAAAACAGTAAATGAAAAAAACACATTGACAAATGGATATTTTTACAGTCCAAAAAAAGTGTGGAGGACGACGTAGGAAACACACCTTTTCCAAACATCTGCTAATATTTAAAGAGGCACATTCAATGACACAAATCATCTACTTCAGAATGTGTAGACTTCAATAGCAAGTCATTTTATATCTACAAAGACACTTTTAGAGTTACAAAACACAACCTATGATTACAATGCTCCTCGGTTTCAGTCTATAAAAACGATGACTGTGATTAAACTAGCTCTATAGTAAGATATTAGTCTGGTCTTACGTGGCTTGTTCTTTTCAAAACTAAAGATCTGAGCTCAACCTACCGAGCCGAAATAAAAAGAGGAGGAAGTAGAACAGATGTCGGCTGCGCTCCTGATTTGTAGGCTGATAAGGGTGGCACCCTGTAGGTTTAAATGTATGGCTTGTTAGTAAGGACTGGCCCCTTTGTGAGATGTTTTCAAAATGATTGATTTACAATAAAGTGGCTCCCTGTGTGTGCATGCAGGCTGAACTGATGCAGATCGATTCCAGTGAAATTGATTGATCAGCCATTTAACTTGGCAGTATGTTTACTGAACGAAACCATGCAAGACCTATTCTCCCAGTCTCTAGCAATAAAACCGAAACAAGCCACACATCACAACAAAAACAACCACGTCTACACTACTACTGCTGCTTCAGATTCAGTTTTTATAAAAAAATATTTATAAATGGCAATAAAATAATCGATTTCACTTTATATTACGTGTCTTTAACGGCAAAAACATTTTTGATTCTCTGAAAAAAAAATGTTGAAGAAACAATTTTCAGTCAGAAATAGCTAGTAAATTTCACAAACAATAAAAAAGTAACACATTGAATTAAATGTGAATATTGATTTTTGAAGTAGACTAACTGAAGTACTATTTTCTGCAATGTTTTAGTATGTAATTTATTTTCACATCTTGTGAAGAAAC